CGGGCGGGCAGGCGGGCAGGAAAGAGAACGTAAGACTCGCCGAAAGAAGACAAACCCAGAGAGAGCGAGGTAAAAGAAGAAATCCCCCACTCGTGCCGCTTGCGCCGCCGAGGTACGTTCCAGTCGTACTGTCCTCAGGCTCTCTCTCGCGTCTGCGTCTGGTTGTCCCTGTGTGTTGGTAGCCCCCGGAACCGTCCTCGTCGGCGTACGTCGTCGTCTACCACGTCGGTGGCAGAGCTTGGCAAATAGTGGGGGCGCGGGGGACGGTTGGTCGAACCGCCGCAACCCGGGGGAAGGTTCGAAAGGCGTAGACAGTACGAGCCTGCCGTCCAATAGCGAGAACAGCCGCCCCGGTGGCTCCGCCAACCGGATAGTCGGTTGCGCGCACAGAACGCCCATCCTCCCCGTTTGTCGGGCTCCCACTGATGTTTTTATTTATTACATCTGTGACTGGGTAGGGAAATACTCCCGACTCGACCGAGAGAGCGTTTGCTACTTTGAGAACGAGCGACGCGCGTCCCTGCGAGTTACCGCGGCAGCCGCCTCCGTCGTCATCGTCGCCGTCGCTGTCGCCGCCGCTACCGTCGCCGCCGCCGCCGCCGTCGCCGCCGTCGCCGCCGCCGCCGCCGCCGCCGCCGCCGCTGTCGTCGTCGTCGTCGCCGTCGTCGCTGTCGTCGTCGTCGTCGTCGTCGTCGTCGTCGTCGCCACCGCCGTCGTCGTCGTCTTCGTCGTTATCCTCGCTGTCATCTCGTCATTGACACTGCCACAGTCGTGTCCCGGTGCACGGGAACAGTGCCCTCGTGCGTGCCTCGCTTGGTCAGAGCACTCGGCAGCCGTTTCGCGATCCGTTTCGCGTTTGTTGTGACATGAAGAGAAACGTCGTCGTCGTCGTCGTGAGCCAGTGAACAAGTTGCTGACGAGGTGAGCGCAACGACGGGTGGTCGCAGTCCGCGTGCGACTGACGTTGCCGTCTCTCGTAGTCTTCGTCGTGGTTGTCGTCGTTATAGTTGCGGTCGATCGGTTGTACCAAACGTCATCGCGATGGATCGGTGAAAATAAGATAGTCGCGCAGTGGACTGGTTTGTTATGGACACTGAGGCTCACGTGCTTGCGAGGACTGACAAAATCGTGCGGCGCCGTGAGCCGCGACATTTGTTTCAAGTGGCACAAGTACGCTTCCAAGGACGCTTCCAACGGCGCGCTCGTAAGACCCGGAATCATCGCGATTCGCGGCCGACACGAGGCCAGCGTCCGTGAGAGCGCACAGCCGAAGATCGGGAGAAACGGCATTAACATGCATTGAAGCGTCCGTCGCGTGACACAAACGCGAAAGACTCGGCCCGCGACATTCGCCAGCGGGCGAACCAAGTGACACGGAGCTGAACGTCGCAGGCACGGCACGGAGCGCATCGCTGGCGACTGCAACGTGCCAGACCATCGTCTCTACGAGTCGCAGGAAGAACAGGGACGCGCGTTTCCGACCCTCCATGGACCACGGAGCGATGGACAGCTCTTCCGATCACAGCAGCCGTGCCAGTCCCGTAACCGGCAGTCCGAAACACCCGCATAGTCCGTCGACACAGCAGAGCCAGCAACAGCAGCAACTACACGGCGGCCAGCACCAACCGCCGCCCTCGCATCAGCAGTCGCACGGGCGGGATCAGCTACGCGATCATCAGCAACAGCAGCAACAGCACCGCGGTGTGCCGACACCGGGATCACCCACGAGAGGTTCGCCGCCGCAGGGTCTACCCCTGAGTCCACCGCCGTTGTCGGCCGGGGGAGGCCCCGGGGCACCGCCGGGAATGGTGCCTCGAATGCCGGGATTGCCACCGCCAGGTCTGGGACTGCTGGGCCAGCTCGGCGGTATGCTGAGCGGCCACCATGGCTCGCCGTTAGAGTTGATGGCCGCTCATCACGCGGTTCTGCCACCGAGGTCGTACAACAGCCCGCCGCCGATCAGCACCAGTGATCCCACCGCGAATGAGTGCAAATTGGTCGACTATCGCGGCCAGAAAGTCGCGGCGTTCATCATCGCCGGCGACACGATGCTCTGCCTGCCGCAGGCCTTTGAGCTGTTTCTCAAGCACCTCGTGGGTGGCCTTCACACGGTCTACACGAAGCTCAAGCGGCTGGATATCGTGCCGTTGGTGTGTAACGTCGAGCAAGTTAGGATCCTACGCGGCCTTGGAGCCATTCAGCCCGGCGTCAATCGGTGCAAGCTGCTCAGCTGCAAGGACTTCGACATTCTTTACAGGGATTGCACCACAGCCAGGTATGTGGCGTCGCTAAGACGGACGTGTGATGATGAACGAGGTCCTTCTTCTTGTCTTCCTCCACCTTCTTCTCCTTTTGCCCGCTTGTTTCAATCGTCGTCGTGATTGTTTGAGAACGTGAGGCGTTTATAGCTCGAGAAAAGTTCGCTTAAGTTCGTGGTAATAACAAAGCTCTGTCGTCGTGTCCGTGTATGCGGAGCGAACGAAGAGAGAAGGAGAAAGAGAGGGAGCAGCTTGAGAACGTGACTGGTAATTTCGATGAAACCAGTTTGACGTTCCTGGATGTTGCCTCGTGGCGATCATGCTGTTGCCATATTCCGGACATTTCTGAAAAAAGAGAATCTAATGCGGACCATCGATGATGGACCGTCGTGGTATCGACAATCGTTGATTAGCCGACGCTTCGGCACTCGCTTCGGCTGGGCAGCAAGCGTTTCAGGGCCCGGAAATAAGGTCGGTGTGTATGAGCGCGCGTCGACGCGCCTTGGCCGGCTCCGCTACGAACGGAAGCTACGATCCTCGCATACATTAATAACGCACGGTGTCGCCTCTGGGCAGCACTTTATCTTCACCCTCGTACCTCGGCTCGGTTTCGCGCTACCAGTCGGCCAAAAAGTACTTTAATTGTGCACCACCTACCGCTCCTTAAGACTTGATCATCGTCGAAAACGGCTCCCGGTGACCCTCGGGCTTCTTCGCATAGGCGATTCCCCGGCGATCTTTATGCATCGAAATTGCCCCGAGAGATTGCACTTTGCGGTTTCCAGAGGAATGCTGTCTCGAGAATAGCTTTATTTGCATTCGCGCCGGTTGTACCGAAACGAGAGCTCTCCGTCGCGTCCTGCTCGCGAAAATAATTTCCGTGAAAGATCAAAGTTAGTTGAGATTGTTTGTTGTGCCGTGCGACGAGTTAGAAACAGAGAGGATAAAAGAGAAAAAGAGAGAGGAAAGAGAGAGAGAGAGAGAGAGGGGAGAAAGAGAGAGAGAGAGAGGGGAAGAGAGAGGGAAGGAGAAATAAAGAGGGAGGGAGAGAGAGAAATTTCTGGGAACAACCGCAAAAAGGAAATTCTAGAAAATTATTATAGAAGAAATAAAACTCTCGATAGTTGTTCTCACAGAGTAAAATGTCCGGGAGTGACTGTTCGAGGGGAGAACGACGGTAGCACTCGGGAGTAAACTCGCCGATGTTTACTTTCAGAAAAAGTCACACGTTCGATTCTCAACTCCGGTCCGTTGTGTTCCTGCTGCTTTTAACGAGTGTCTCGAAATTGATCTCTGCCCGCGCCGGAGGCTCCCGCGGGGAACACGCGGGCGATTCGCTGTGTGACCAGTCGGCCTGTTTCCTGTGTACTCATGCCTGCCATTATATCGACATCGTAGATCGACGTAGATTGCGAGCCGTGCATTTTTCTCCTCGCCTCGATCGTCGTGAAGCACCGCGAAGATCGTGACCGCCGCGAGTTAAATCGGCGTGGCGACTTCTCCGCCGTAATTATAAATAGGATAGGAAAGCGCGCGGCGAGAGAGAGAGAGAGAGAGAGAGAGAGAGAGAGAGAGAGAGAGAGAGAGAGAGAGAGAGAGAGAGAGAGAAAGAGAGAGATTGAAGATATCTGAATCGTGGCAGCGGCACGTGCTCCTCGTTTCTAGGATTGTCAACTGAGTCCCTGCGCCAACAGGTGTCCCTTTCACGGCAGTTTCTCTGAATGAATCGTCCCGGGTGAGGGAGGGAAAGGGAGATGTCGAGCGAGAGGAAGAGAGCCTGGTTGTACAAGCTCTCTTACCCCACCCACGAGGTAGGCGACAGACGAAACGGAATGGTAAACGGAACGAGGGGATTTAAGGTCGTCGGGGAAAGTGTTGTCCCGCCACGATGTCACCTATCCATTAAGAACACACCGCTATCGTAGTCTCATTTCCGTCGGCCGACTTGACCCTCTCGATCTCGTACTCGCGACGATTTGATCGCGTTGCACGTTCAATTGTCACCGAACCTCGCGAGCCTCTTTTGTGGTGCGGGGTAGGCCGCGAATCGCACCGCAAATGGGCAATACTTGCTCAGCGGGTAGCGCGCAGCGGCAGTCACAACGGAAACGGATTCAACGCGACACGGAGAGAGGGACAGAGCGAGAGGGAATCGAGGGATCCCGAGGGACGGGAGTGAAAGAGCCGGAGGTAGCCAGAAGGAGAGACAGAGAGAGAGAGAGAGAGTGAGAGAGGGCGAACGCGGGAGGAAGAAGGAGGAAGCTCGTAGGGATAGGGATCCAAATAATCCGAGTCGCAGTCACAGAACAGAACTCCGCGAGCCGTCGGCTCGTGCGGGTCTCCCTCGCTGTTCCCCGGTCGCTTCGTGTATCGTAGGTCTACCAGCCAGGTCGCTGTTCGCCGCGACACGAACTCCGTGTTGTAGCTCGATTAATAGCTGGTTTCCTCGGTATCGCATTAACTCTGTCCGTAGATTAGATAATTTTAGCTCTCTGTCTCCCGCCGCGAGCAGCGCTACGATCCAGAAAGCGACAGGGGAGCAGTTATCTCTCGGATAACTTTATCCAACAGTCAACTGCAGTCGAAAGAACCGCGCGCGCGCGCGCGCGCGAGAGATAATTCTACTCGTATGTATATTCTCCCTCCGAACGGTTCTGCTTCTCCAATGACGCAGGTGGCTCGCATTATCACGCATTCGGCGACAGGTTTTTTTTTTTTTTTTAATGCAAAAGTTCGCGCGCGCCGTGCGTTCGCTTGGACGGAGAAGAGAGGCGGCGTCTCTTCTATCATTCGCGAGCACTCACGGGGGAAAGTTTCTCGTCGTTCCTCTCGTGATCGCGACTCGGCATCTCGAGCGCGGGGAGCGATCGGCCGGGCGATTTCGAAAAATCGGATGATCGAGAGGCTGCGACAGCGGCTTCCTGTGCGGTCCGATCGCGTGTACCGCTGGCGTCGTTACATTCTGATAATGCACGCCAACGGTAGCGGCGGCAACGGGTACACATCGAGACACATCTACGAGCCGAACACACACACACACACACACACACCCTCCCAAACTACCCACCCACCCATCTACACACACACATACGACGTACACTCGCGCATGCACTTGCACACCTACGACTGCACGTCGACCCCGCCGCTCGTCGCTTCTACCGTCGATGCAACAGCATGCGCCCAGAACCGCACCGATAATTCAGGGGGATTTTTCTTGCGGTTTACAGCGCGGCGCCGGGTGCGTTGTTCCGTCCAGACGGCCCGGAGATATAGAGCCGATCGCCGGACGCGCCGTATTTCGTGTTCTCTCTCTCTCTCTCTCTCTCTCTCAGGGGGATCGGTAATAGTAACGTTAAAAAGGGGAGTTTGTGTAAACGACGACGACGACGACGGTAACGACGAGTGCGAAGTTGTGAAGCTACGAATTCGTTGCGAAATGACGCAGCATATCTAACGACGTCGTAAGGACACGCGGATTGTGGCTATTCTTAAAACGCGTGCTTTCTCTCTCTCTCTCTCTTTCTCTCGAAGACGAAGACATCGTCCGAGCTCTCGCACGAGGACGCGAGCTCGAGACGAGGCCGCTATCTGATCGAGAACGCCGACAGATATTCCTGTTACAGGCTGAAAAGTAATCGACTGCAATAATTACGCGCGCGTCGTATCCTGTTGTACACCGTCGGGTCCGGACCCTACGATATAATCGGCGGGGAAATAATAATGCAGGCCGTCGTTGCGCATAGCTAACGAGACGAGTCAATTATATTAATTAATTTGCCTAACTCGGTCGGACGGAGCGATCGCCTCTCCGCGCAAACTGCCTATTCGGAATTGTGCCTCTCTAATTGGGAATCGGCGAAAAGAGGTCGCAGACGAAGGAGGAAACAAGGAAAAAGCGTCGCGCGGCCCCGTACGGCAACGTTCGGCTCTTTTTCTCTATTCTTCCTTCTTCCTATCGAGCGCGGCGCTTAGCATATACCCGGCACAACGGTCGGGGTACGTGGGAGTGAGCGCGCGCGGCCCTGGACTATAATTCTATGCGCTATTAGCCGTTTAATTATAAAATTGTGCATAGATTAATTGGCTCCTGTAATGGCCCTAACAATGCACAGACATATTGTGAGAGAACGAGAGACACCAGGGGG